AAAAAAAAAACACTGTTTTTTGCAGTGTGTTTGTTTTTTTTACACACTGCACAAACACAACTGTGTACTTCGACTAAGAACATGGACACAGTGTATTATAGTGTTATGACTATACTATACTGTGTACTTGTGTATGGTGGGGGTGGTAAGAGTTATCGTACGGTGATATTGATTTTAGGCCACATCATCCAGCTCTAAGCTGAGCCACTGATCRTCATGGTGATTCCTGCMTTTTTGGAGCGGTACAAACATTCTGGGTGATTTGAGATCAAACTGGGTGGAAGAAGATAAAAATGGCCACTTTTTAACGTGTAAAATGTATGAAAAGTGCAAAAAAATGTGAGCTGACAGCGTCTATTCTGAGTGTGATAACTCCAAAACTCAACCAACTTAAACTGTGATTTTTAAAAACCTTTAAAGATCTTTAAACAGCTGTTCTGGCATTAATTGTTTTTTTATGGGGGGGGGGGGTGGCCCTTCTGTGTTTTCTGTTTGTTTGTGTTCACCAGCTTGAGTGTAAATAAATAAAAACAAACCATAAAACACAAGACGATCACAGACACCGAGTCTCAGTACTCACCGATCTGCCCCGCTTTTATTTTGAAGGGAACATCAAACTCGCCCTGAAACACAAACACACAGTCAGAGTCCTGCCGTGGACTGAAACCTGACCTGAGGGGGGCGCCACAGCCCCTCAGAGTTCCCGTCTGCTCTGAAGGACCGTCACTCAGACAGGAAGTGGTTTCTGAGCCGTCACCGAGTCATGTGACCTGCTGGGGTTCAGAACTGTGGAGATTTACCAAGTGATCAGTGAGCGTGAGAAGACCCGAATTTTTACACCATCATCATCATCATCATCATCCTCATCATCATCATCATCATCATCATCATCATCATCATCATCCTCATCATCATCATCATCCTCATCATCATCATCATCATCATCATCCTCCTCATCCAGTGTAAACAGCAGCTGAATGAATCTCTCACACCACGTTTCACACCACAGATGTACACCGATGGTTGGTTTTTTTCCTCCACCTTCGCCTTTCTGCAGCGGGTCTTCATAAAAGCAGACGGGACCAGGTGGATCTGGTCCAGACGAGACCAGAAACCAGACCAGAGGTGGTTTCAGAGACATCATGATGTTTGATGTTCAGAACTTACCAGAGCGTTTTCCTTCACCCTGAGGTTCTCCAGAACTACATTTCCTGCAGAAACACAAAAAACAAAAACATGGTCAGCAGAGGTAAAAATACTCCTCGTTTTTTTTAATAAACTCTGTGATTTTCAGCACAGAAAATAGCTGAAAAACCTTCTTGGAAACTGAAATCTTGTGTTTTCTGCTGTGAGACACCAAGAAGCTGCAGAACAGATAAAGATAAAAAAAAACTAAACTCAACTAACTGAGTTGTGAAACTTTACAAAAACAGATACCAAGTGGCTGACGCACAAAGTGCTACAAATGTTTGTGTAGATTTTATCAGGATATCCTGAGGCGTCGCTTTAAACAGCTAACAGATTTACTTTGTTACAACCTCTGAACATCCAACAAAATGTAATACNCAGAGGGCCGTGGGACCACATTGATTTTAAATAAGGTGTAATACACTTTCTCACCACTAGTAGCAGTAGTGCACCACTCAGATGTTTAACAACTTTTTAATATGTAGAAGAAGAACCTTAGAAACCTGATGAGAATGGAAACCTATTTTAAATGAAAAGTAGAAGCAATAATGAAAGTAACTCATCAAAAAACACCAAAGTTTGTCAATAATATAAAGAGCAGCTTCTTTTTTTTAACCACGCAATATTTTGAAAGTTCAAAACATTATCAAATACAGTTGTAAAAGTAAAACTGCTGTCAAATAATCACAAGACATGATTATGACAAGTTTTTATATTGTAACCTGCCCATAACAATTATTTGAACAAATACAACGGTCAGTCAACAGACCACTCAGGCTTATCAGCACAAACATATAGTATATATATATATTAACATAAATAGCAAAAATAGAAAATTCAATAAATAAAAGTGCGGGCATAAGATAAATAAATTATAAATGTTTCAATGTTTCAAATACAAAAAACTGTAAATCTAAATTTGATAAAGTACTTTTGCATGGTCAAAACAGAAGCTGTACTTCATGTTAGTGACAAACTTTGGCCTTTTTTGATGGGTTACTTTCATTTTTGCTTCTACTTTTAATTTAAAATAAGTTTCCATTCTCAACAGGTTTCTAAGGTTCTTCTTCTACATTTTAAAAAGTTGTTAAACATCTGAGTGGTGCACTACTGCTACTAGTGGTGAGAAAGTGTATTGCACCTTATTCAAAATCACTGCGGTCCCACGGCCCTCTGTGGCCCAAAGTTAAAGACTGCTGTTCTTTTGAGGCCCTCAAGGTGGCGCTGTGGGCCGCGGCCCATAGGTTAAGAATCTCTGATCTAGAAGATCTAACCTGAAGTCAGTTTCATTATCTTTAATACAATCACCATTCTGAAGAAGCTGACAGTTTAAACGTCAGCATAAATAGGACACGACGGTTTGCAGATCTGAAACCCAGAATTTATTCACACTAAAAAACATCAAATGTTTTCATTCAGAAATTGTATCATTTAAAACAATAACTGTGAGGCAAGAGGCAACTAAACTTGTTTGATATCCTGTTACTCCACTTCCCAGTAATTTCCAGTAATTTCAGCAAGAACTCCCGTTCCTGTCAGACCGACTCACAAAGAACTGAGTCAAGTAAAGCTTGAAAAYGTCTCCCAGTCCCAGAAGGCAGGGTCCAGATCAAACATGCAGAGAAAATCTGACCCACAACCAGACCAGTCTGCAGGAAATGAGTCCAACTCAGAGCTGCACCGTGACTTCAACATGAAACAGGTCGACAAGCCATACGGCATGAAAGACGAGCTCTGAGGCTTCAAAATAAAAGCACGCCAACAGGGGAACTCCTGAAAGATACCTTTATTGTGAAGGACAGGAGTGTTCCAAGTCAGGGTGTTACTTAAACACGGTTTCACAGTGTTAAAAACTTTCAAACAAACAGCAATGATACTGAGGTATATGAAGTCATCACAACAGAATGGTGTTTCAGTCAGGAGTTGTTTTTAACTTAACGAATCAGCAAATCCTTATAAGGATGGGAAAATGAGCTCAACCTTAGCTCATTTGTTAAAAACAGCTTTGGGTGATAAACATGTTTGTGTGTCTAATTTTACATCTCTGGACACAACTCGTTTACCATAGAAGGAATTGCATGTAGGTTGATTCTGCTTTGTTTACATCTGGGTGTGGTAGAAGGTTATACAGAGGGGTGACCCAGAAAGTTCTGGGGAGATCTTCACTTAATTGGCTCAAAGTCTTGATTTGGTTTAGGCCAGGACTATTCAACTAAACTGCTCTGAGGGCCACAGTTACTGCAGGTCAACAGCTCAGGGGCCAAACATCCAGCAATTAAGTTATGTAAATAAACCAAGTTTTACAAAGATATGTTACCTTTGAATTAGTTTATTTTGCTGTATTTAATCATGAATACAACATACAGAACCCTATAAAAGTAGTGATAAACGATATCAAAAACAAAAAGAACAAGTTATGCCTCCTATTTAACACAAATATTATTTTGACATCTCTGACTTGCCAAACCAATTTTATTTTCATTTTCATAGTTGTTTCTGTAACTGCTTGTAATTTTAACTGTCTTGAGTGTGCACAGAAATGTTTTTTCCAGCTTCTAACCAAGATTCTGACGTTTCTGTAGATACCAAACATGCACAGCAAAAATGCCAGTGTTAATTTAACACCCAAAGTGTTCATTTTAACACCAGCAAAGTGTCAACTACGTGTCCACACTCGCTGGTGTTAAAATAACATTTATGAAAGTGTTAAATTTTAACACCCATTTTTTTGTTAATTTAACACCCAAAGTGTTCATTTTAACACCAGCAAAGTGTCAACTACGTGTC